TTCCTGTCTGGGAACATGCAACACATATGGGTGTACAGACATGCATGTGGCCCTTACTTCAGAACACTGTGCCCTCGACCTCTGGGCACTGTGCCTAGCTTAACAGACTTGTGGAGGTCACAGAACTGGAGGGCATCTCCTTAGGGATGGAGGGGAAGAAGGTTGTCAGATGCAGGGACTTGATGTGCATCAGGAGACCACCTGCTTGAAGATGCCCAGCGGTTAGCTGAGCAGCTCCCCGTTCCTCCTACCTAGAAACTTTCCCTTCACAGGCCTGCCCATCTTTCCCCTGTCTCTCCACTGGACTAGGAAGGGTGGGTTTTGGGGTCTGTAGTTCCCAATGCCCCTGGCTAGGAAAGTACGGCTCATTTCTCTGTTGGGTACCACAGGCTCTCCTGAGAACCACAAAGTTCTAGACATGGACAGCAGTTCTCTGTGGACCCCAGTCCAGGCCCAGAGGCCCTCGGTGGGCTCAGATCTTCCGCTGGCTCTGGAGACCCTGGCACACAGCCTGTCCACAGGATCACCCCTTCACCTTCAGCCTGTCCAGTGTGCAGCTGCAGACCCAGCTCCTGGGACCCACATTTCCTGCTGACTATACAGTCTCCTTGTCCAATCAGCCCCCTCTGGACGTACAGATTCCCGTGCGCTCACTGGCACCGTTGGGTCGTCTCGGAACCAACATCAGTATTACTAGCCTGATGCTGCGAAAACTAGATAGCCTTCTACCCTCAAACTATGGAGAAGGGCTAGGGGACTCCTTCTATGCCACTCCTGGACTGCACTTCGCCATCTCCATCATGGCAGGTGGCCAACCTTCAATCAGGGAGAAGTCATCATGGACTTTGGGGACACAGATGGCACCCCCCACTGTGTCTTCTGGGACCATGATGTCTTCTGGAGCAAGGGGGGCTGGTCAGATGAAGGGTGCCAGGTGCAGGCAGCCAGTACCAGCCCCACCACTCAGTGCATCTGTCGGCACCTCACTGCCTTTTCCATCCTCATGTCCCAGTACACTGTTCCAGAAAACCCCACACTGGAGCTGCTGACCCAGGTGGGCTTGGGAGCCTCCATTTGGGCACTGCTTGTGTGCCTGGGGCTGTACAGGCTGGTATGGAGAGTTGTGGTCTGGAACAAAGTTGCCTACCTACCTCAGGTGGCCCTGCTCAACGTGGTGCTCTGCCTGCTGGCTGCAGACACCTGCTTCCAGGGAACCCCACTGCTGCCTCCAGGGCCCCATAGCCCACTCTGCCTGGCTGCTGCCTTTCTCTGCCATTTCCTCTATCTGACCTCTTTTTTCTGGATGCTGGCTCAGGCCCTGATGTTGGCCCACCAGCTGCTCTTTGTCTTCCATCAGCTGTCCAAGCACAGGGTGCTCTCCCTGATGGTGGTCCTCGGCTACCTGTGCCCCATCGGGTTTGTGGGTGTTGCCTTGAGCCTTTACCTACCCTGAGGGCAATACCTGGGGGAGGGGGCATGCTAGCTGGATGGGAGGGGAGGGGCACTCTACACCTTCGTGGGGCCAGTGCTGGCTATTGTGGGTGACAACGGGCTGGTACTAACTATGGCTGTGCTGAAGTTGCTGAGACCATCGCTGTCAGAAGGGCCCCGGGTGGAAAAGCACCATGTTCTTCTGGGGGTGATCAAAGCCCTGCTCGTTCTCACACCCATCTTCGGCCTCACCTGGGGGCTGGGGCTGGCTACTCTGTTAGAGAAAGTCTCTGTAGTCCCTCACTACACCTTCACGATTCTCAACACCTCCCAGGTGGGTGAAAACGTGGTGGCTGTGCTTTCCGTCCTTTTAGATGGTCTAAGTCCCTGCCAGTCCCTTCTCAGGGAGGCATGGTTGTGGAGCAGAAACACAGGCTCGGGAACTTTAGAAAGCTCAGGCTTGGATCCCAGTTCTTCCACCGATCAGCTTGGTAACTGTGGACAAACCTCTCTGAGCTTTGGTTTTCTTATCTGTGAAATAATACCTGGTTTTGTCAGAGAAGTCAGGGAACTGTCAGTACTGAATCCTATAATATTGCTGAGGTAATCCTAACGGTTAGGAAAAGCACCTAAAATGGATCGTGTGCACCAAATGATGTTGACACAGAACTCGAGATGGGACGCTTCAGGATGTGAATTAGACAAGAGGACAGAAGCTGAAGGGAGAGGGAAAGGGCTGACTTCAGTTGATTCCTTCCTCCTCTGCCTAACTTACCCCCATGTCCTTTCAGGGCGTCTTCATCTTGTTCTTCGGCTGCCTCATGGACAAGAAGGTGCGTCTGGCCACCTAACCTCTGCCTGACTAGTGGTGCCAAGGCTGGAACTTGGGCCAGCATAACCCAGGCATTTATTTCTGCTGCAGGTACAGGAGGCTTTACTCAAACGCTTGTGCCACACCCAACCTCCCAACTCCACCATCTCCATGGTGAGTTCCTGGCTTTGAATCCCCAGTTCTCCTAAGAGCATGTCAGAAGGAGGTGTTCCAGAGCCTTCCTCAGAGGAGATGGGCACAGTTTAGAAGCCAAGAGTAGATTGGGGTTATTTTTAGAATGAGCACTTCTCAGTGCTTTTCTCCAGAAGTGGAGAAAGCAGCTTCGTCAGGGCAGTCAGAATCAGGTTCCTGGGTTCCTGATCACAACCGGGACTCCTGCTAACTCTCTTGTCCCTGGTTTCTCCATCTGAAAATCTGCCTCCAGTTACCATCTGAAGGGAAACGGTAGGACTGGTGGTCTCCTTTCACCAGCCCAGACCTTCAGGGTGAGCACTTTCCCGGGGAGGCAGAAGCTACAGACAAACTACATGCTCAGCCTGTTCCTCCAAGGGAGTAGAGGGAGTGTGTGAATCCACCAGTGCCCCTGGCCCCATGCTCCTAGCCCTTCCCCGCTCCCAAAGCTCAGGCTGCAGGAAAGACAGGCTGTGTTTCCATTAGTCATAATCCCTTCTCTTGGAACTCCCGGGTCCCCACCCGTAAATTACCCAAAGAAGAACAGCAAAAAACCTAGCGAAAGCTGCCTAAGGAATAAGCCTGCCTCTGCTATAAGAATAATGAACAGATATGAAAATTCAAAACAAGTGCTAGTAAAACGGTCTCAACCAGTTTTTAACTACTCAACAGCTCATATTACAGATGTATTTGATCAAAAGCTTTCAACTATTCAGTGATTTCTTTTCTGATTACTTCTTCTTTATAGGTACAAAGAAAGGATGACTTAACTGACAGGAATTCTGATGTTCCAAACGGAGGCGAAGGACAGAAATTGGTTTGCTTCTTTTTAAAGTTTAGGAAAAGATGAAATTAATAGATCCCTATTTCTTTAACCTTTAAAAAAATATTAACATAACATGAGAGTTTCATGGACGTAGGCATGCAGACCAAAAGTCACTGGTAAGAGCACATTTGTTAAGAATGTATCAGACATTTTAAAGTAGTCGGAGACACTGCAGACTGCCCAGAATTCAGGAGAAAAGATGACAAATGCTGACAGTTAAAAGTAAAGGGACCAAGCTATGACTACACGAAAAGAAGAAATACTTAAGAAAAGCCTTTCGAGGACCCCAAGATGTCCAGCTAAATTAACTTACAGAATCCACAAGAGGATGACAACAGGATTCTAGAAACCTTTTAGATAAATGAAAATATTCTGAGTGGGTCTTTGTTAATTACAAAACTTATGGATATTTTTATAAAATAGAATGGGAACACGTTGTTGAAATAAAGATGTGTTACCACATGCCACTGAAAACACTTCTCTTAGAAAAGCTATACCTTCACTTAAACCATTTGTGTGATATTTTAATTACACATAAACTGGCCCAAGTATTTCTCTACATGGTTTCAATCAAGAAGTTACCAACTCACCGGGCAACAGCAATGTTTCTATGCCTTCCTCGTACTTGTTCCAGCCCCGAGGTGTGCCAAGCAGCTGCTGAAACAGTGGGGACTGTGCCTTGCTGGTTTTCTTGACAACACAGTCACATTGCAATTTCACTTCCTTATTTAGTCTCAATATTTTAAACTATAAAATTATTTTTGAACAATTCAAATAATGCACTTGTACTTTAGAAGCAGCATAGACTGCTTTTCTGAATATGCTTTTTTATAAAAATGTGTTCTCATTTTCCTTCTCAACTGTGAGCACATAATCAATGCATGCTCTGCAGCAAAAATACTTTAGAATTGATAAATGGAATAATATTAAGCCTTTGTTCACTTGGCTGTCTACATAAAGAAAAAGGACTATAAAAGGAGGCTATAGAGGCAAATACAAGAAAGTGAGACTGAGCAGTGATTCCATTTCTAAACAGATGGCTGAAAGAAATAAGTAGGCAAGTGAACAGATAAATGGATAAAGAATATGCATTCCATGTTTACACCCTTAAAATAGATGCACTTAATAACAAGTTACAGTAACAACACAAAGGAATGCTATGTGGTCGTTAAAAATTATGTATAGCTACACCTACTAATATGGAAAAATGTTTTGGCTCTATTGCCAGTAACATTCATAGTCCTAAGCAACATTCACAGAAATGGTCACAATTGAGACGCTTGCTTCATTGAAGCACTAAGCATATATGTTTAGTGCATGCCGGTTGAGAAAAAACTGAGGATTTTTATTATGTTGTTCAAAAATTGTTAATTCATTTTCATTTAAATCCGAGAAAACAGAAGCATCTTCAGAGCAATAAGCTCACTTCAATGGAGCAATGGGGAAAAAAGGTGTTGTTTAAAGCAGGACCCTCTTTATGTTCCTAGCAGCTTCATGGTTGACGAATATGGTTAGATTACAAATGAGTGATCAAAGGCAAAATCTGCCAGTGAGCTGAGAACCACACTTACCTCTTATAAAAAATAAAGCAAATAGTTCTCCAATACTTTTCCATTTTATTAATGTTAACAAACATGGTATTTATGTATCTAAACATTTACTGTTAAGTTTTCAGTGATGTTTAGATTCTAAATTATCTTTCCATACTTAAGTTCATGTAGGCACACTGGTGTGTATTTTCTAGAAAACACTTATCTTTAGGTAATAAATAGGAATGAGCATAATTTGCAAATGTTACAAAGATGATTCCAAATCTAATTAACTTCTTTCCCAAGCTGCAACCACTCACTAAGCCTTTAATGAAAAGAGAGACCAAAAGCGATTGCTTCAGCGTATCACTGGGTGAGATTCCGGTGACTAAGAAATCCCTGAAAGCAGTAAGCTGTGATTATTGGAAAGCTCAGAACACCAGCAAAGCTACTGCAGAGTGTTTACCAGAAGGCCATAAATTTGTTTTCCTCAGAGGAGCTAGAAACTATAGATCTCCTTTAGTATTGCACCGATATGGCATTGCCTAGCGTGAATGTTACACAGAAATTCAGGTTGCCTCTTCTTGATCTATTATTTTGGATAAGCTTCTACTATCATAGCATGGCCCTGTAAAGGAAAAAAAGTTCAGTGAGAGCAATGAAAGGAGATGAATCCAGCCAACAGAGGCACCAAAGAACATGAGGAAAATACAGCTCTGGAGTTTGATTCTGGTTCTGATCTTCAAATACTGTGTGATCTTGGAGAAGTTATTAGCCATTCTGGGCCTCAGTTTCTTTTGTAAAATGGGGCTCATGGTGCCTATGTCATCGTGGTTTATGAGCATTAAATTAGCATGCTGTGTGTACATAGACATGTATTTATGTACACATACGTATAAATACACACATCAGAGTCTGTCCAGTAGTCTGATTCCCAGTAGATGCTCTATAAATGGTTTCTATTAAAAGTGATTTTGTATTTTCCATAATGAGCATATATTAACTTTTAAAAACACAAATCATAAACATTGTTTTAGGAAAAAATTAGTTTCGATTCATGGCCTAGTATGTGGTCTATTCTGGAAAATGTTCCATGTGCACTTCAGAAGAATTTGTATCCTGGTGCTTTTGGGTGTAGAGTTCTGTAGATGTCTGTTAGGTCTATCTGTTCTAATGTGTTGTTCAGTGCCTCTGTGTCCTTACTTATTTTCTGTCTGCTGGATCTGTCCCTTGGAGTGAGTGGTGTGTTGAAGTCTCCTAGGATGAATGCATTGCATTATATTTCCTCCTTTAATTCTGTTAGTAGTTCTTCAACATATGTCGCTGTTCCTGTATTGGGTGCATATATATTTTTAATGGTTATATCGTCTTGTTGGACTGACCCCTTTATCATTATGTAATGTCCTTCTTTATCTCATTACTTTCTTTGTTTTGAAGTCTATTTTATATGATACAAGTACTGCAACACCTGCTTTTTTCTCCCTATTGTTTGCATGAAATATCTTTTTCCATCCTTTGACTTTTAGTCTGTGAGTGTGTTTGGGTTTAAGGTGAATCTCTTGTAAGCAGCATATAGATGGAAGTTGCTTTTTTATCCATTCTATTACTCTGTGTCTCTTGATTGGTGCATTCAGTCCATTCATTTAGGGTGATTATTGAAAGAAATTTACTTATTGCCATTGCAGGCTTTAGATTCATGGTTAACAAAGGTTCAACGGTAGCTTCTTTACCATCTATCTATCTAACTTAACTTGCTTATTAAGCTATTATAAATGCAGTCTGATAATTCTTTATTTTTCTCCCTTCTTATTCCTCCTCCTCCATCCTTTACATGTTAGGTGTTTTATTCTGTACTCTTTCTGTTTCCTTTGACTACTTTTGTGAATAGTTGATTTTATTTTTTGCCTTTAGTTAGTATTTGGTTGGTCTGCTTTCTTTGCTGTGATTTTATTTTCTCTCGTGACATCTATTTAGCCTTAGGAGTGCTTCCATCTAGAGCATTCTCTTTAAAATACCCTCTAGGGGTGGTTTGTGGGAGGCAAATTCCCTCAATTTTTGCTTGTCTGGGAGTTCTTTAATCCCTCCTTCATATTTAAATGATAATCGTGTTGGATACAGTATTCTTGGTTCAAGGCCCTTCTGTTTCTTTGCATTAAGTATATCATGCCATTCTCTTCTGGCCTGTAAGGTTTCCTCTGAGAAGTCTGATGATAGCCTGATGGGTTTTCCTTTGTATGTGATCCTTTTTTTCTCTCTCTGGCTGCCTTTAATAGTCTGTCCCTGTCTTTGATCTTTGCCATTTTAATTATTATGTGTCTTGGTGTTGTCCTCCTTGGGTCCCACGTTTTGGGAGATCTGTGGGCTTCCAAGGTCTAAGAGACTATTTCCTCCCCCAGTGTGGAGAAGTTTTCAGCAATTATTTCTTCAAAGACACTTTCTATCCCTTTTTCTCTCTCTTCTTCTGGTACCCCTACAATGCAAATATTGTTGCATCTGGATTGTTCAACAGTTGTCTTAATATCCTTTCAATCCTCGAAATCCTTTTATCTCTCTCTGCCTCAGCTTCTCTGTATTCCTGTTCTCTGATTTCTGTTCCATTAACAGTCTCTTGTCCCTCCCTCATCCAGTCTGTTCTTAAGTCCTTCCAGAGACTGTTTTATTTCTGTATTCTCCCTCCCAACTTGATCCTTTAGCTCTTGCATATTTTTCTGTAGGTCCATCAGCATGGTTATAACCTTTATTTTGAATTCTTTTTCAGGAATATTGGTTATATCTGTCTCCCCAAGCCCTCTCTCCGGGGTTGTCTGGGTCATTCTGGACTGGACCAAATTCTTCTGCCTTTTTATGGCGATAGAGGTAGTAGTAGGCAGGTAGTGCATGTGTCAGCTGGGAGGACAAAGTTCCTTCCTGCTTGCTGGTTGCACTGCCCCTCTCCGCTGCCTGTGTCGGTTACCCGCACACCAGGAGCAGCCCTCCAGGCAGCCCAGAGCCCTGTGGGGAGTTGCAGGCGCACCAGGTGTGCTCTCCTGTGAGAACAGCGCCCCTTCGCGCCCTGCCCTGGCTTCCTCTATCTGCGTCGGGCAGCTGCGCACCACCGCAGTCCCTGGGTCTGGCCAGGGTGACTGCGTGCTGGGAGGAGACTCTGGGCAGCTGCTCAGCCACTTTGGTGGAGTCGCGCCGGAGGGGGAATGGACGGAAGGGTGTTTATCGCCATGAGGGGCTTCAGAGCTGCACTGCCTCCCAGGGGGCTGGGGCGCCCGAAGCTCCTCAGGATTCCCAGCCTGCTGTGCTGAGTGTGCTGGGGCGATGCTGTCCAGATGTGAGGCCCCTGTCCCTTTAAGACTTTCAAAAAGCACTTGCTTTTCTTTTGTTGCAGGAGAGCCATCTGCGGGGACCCGCTCGCACATTTTCCTTTTCCTTTTCCCTAATATTCAGCGCACCATGCAATGTGTGTCTGCGCTCCCAGTGCAGATTACAAGGGCTGGTTACTTAGCAGTCCTGCGCTTCCACTCCCTCCCCACTCCAACTCCTTTCCTCCCACTGGTGAGCTGGGGTAGGGGGGTAGCACTCGTGTTCTACCGGCCCGCGGCTTGTATCTTACATCCTTTGTGAGATGCTGAGTTCTTGCAGATGTAGATGTAGCCTGGCTGTTGTATCCTTTGGTCTCTCTTTAAGGCGTAGTTGTATTTGTTGTATTTTCAGAAACATATACGGTTTTGGGAGATTTCCGCTGCCCTACTCACTCTGCCATCTTGGCTCCTCCCTTCATTAGCTTGGATTTAAATGGCATCATTCTTCCAAAGTACTATCAGAATTAAAATTGTACCTTCTAACCCCATGCCAAAATAATTTTCTGGTTGTCTGTCAGCAGAAATACTGCTCTAAGGATGTTTTAAACAACAAAATCAAACCTTCTTGGATGAGCTTCTTTTGTTTCTAAGAAAATGACTTTCCAAAAAGCACCTGTGAAGCTGCAGTGACATACCTGCCCTCCAGCTGCACAGGCAGCCACTAAGCCATATTGGCCTCCTTCCTTCCGTAACCTGTTGGCAGCTGCCATGACCAGCCGACAGCCAGTGGCTCCAAATGGGTGGCCCAAGGACAGTGATCCACCCCAGTTGTTAAACTTCTCCAAAAGAGGCAATCCAACCTGGCTCCCACAAAAGCGGACACAAATATAAAGATGAGTTTACTTAAGCATCAGTCCAGGCTCTTAGTAACAGGAAGTAAGAGAGATAGAAATAACTAACTTAAGACATATCACAAATTATTTTACTTCAAAAGAAAGAATTCTAGCCAACAGTCCATTTTTTTTTCATATAGTACCAGAATAGGAAGAAGATAGATAACCTAGAACTTTACTTTCTTTTTTTTTTTTTAAGAATTTCCAGGAATTATTTTTTTAGCTAATAAATAAATATATTTAATGAAACATAAAATTCTTCCTAAGAAGATTTTCCCTTCATATTTTTATTAGCAGATACTAAGTTCCAAATAATAAAAAGCTTTGGGAGTTCAAGCATATTTTTAATCAGAAACTTACCTTGGTTTTTCTACCCATGTAGTTTTGTGCAAACCAATCAGAATCCATGGCTTTCAAATTAGCCAAAATCTGACCCTAGAAAGGAAAATAATTGAATAAGGACCTTGTTATTAATGTCTCTTGATGCTTTCTATTAGGCATGACCTCGTTTAAAGTTGAGAAAATCTCTGAATCTGTTTTTGGTGAATATTTCCTAAAGAAACATTCTGTTACTTTTTAAAGTCTTCCAAGAGGCTCAAAAGGTATATTTTTGACACCATACCACTGAATTGCCTCTCCTCACACCCCTTCCAACAGTGTAGGTCAATACTTATATGAACCTCCACTCCTGATTACTCATATCATAAACCACACCTTACTGTCTCCCACAAACAAATTATTTTTAACGACTATAGTTCTTTGACATGTGTCTTTTGAAATGACTTACTGAGAAGGCTTCATGAAATTCAAAAGCATCAATGTCATTCATTGTTAATCCTGCCTTTTCCAGAACTTTTGGAGTAGCATATGTTGGTCTGAAAAGAAAAAAAAAGTAATAGGTTAAAATTTTAATTTTTTACCTAATACCACCTTCATATTCCCCAAACTGAGTCTTAAGTAAGGTGCTATAATGTCCTCCACTCATTCCTTGATTCTACTGTACAAATATTAATTAAGTGTTGGAGATATAATAGTAAACTAAACAGACATGGTCTCCATTCCTTACAAAGTTTATATTCTTGAGTCAGGGAAATAGATAACAAGTAAACAATGAAAGAGAAGAACAAACTGACAATGTGAAGAGCTAGAAGAACAAAGAGTTGAGAGGGCAAAGCATACAGGCAAGGGTAAGGCTAGTTGGAAGTTATAACAGGGGCCAGTGAGGGTAGAGCCTTGTGAGGTGGGAGGAGATAGTCTAAACATTTGAAGGCTTTTATATAAGGCTTTTGTGAGGATTGTGTAGCAAAGGGTGTAGCGATATGAAAAAATGCTGTGACATCTTAATGAAAACAAGAATACAAAATTGTAGTTGTTAAGTAGAAATGTATAGGAAAAAAATGGAAAACAATCCACAACTATAAAATACTAACATAAAGAATTATCATTATTATTATTTTTAAAAAATCCACAAAAAGTAATTATGAACTCAAGAATTTAAAGCACTTTAAAATATGTGTAATAAATGTGGTTAATCAAATGCTTTTGATTATAATCCAAGGAAATACACTGCTACGTACCCAAGTAAAAGCTGATCTTTTGGATCTTGAGACACATATACAAAATCCCTAGGTAAAAAATAGAGGGGTTAGCTCCAGTAATAAAATAAAGAAACCAGAGGCAATTTACTTGAACATTTACTTTACCTCAAATACGCCTTTGGCTTATAACCTAGGGCCAGCGCCTTTTCCTCTGCCATTATCAGCACTGCAGATGCACCATCAGTCTGCAATGTTAGCAAGAACAAGAACGACAATTAAATTCTTCAGTCTGTTCATGTCCCACCAGGTTCAAAAAATAATAAATCTTCAGCTTGTCTATTGGTCTTTGTACAACCATCTTCTCTTACTGTTCCTGAATCTATCAACCAATCAGTCACAGAGATTCTATAACAAAACCTTTTCTTTTTATCCATCAGTAAGTCACAATTCAAACACACACACTGACTCATTCTGGAAGAACAAGGGTAGATGAACCTCTTCAAAAAGTACATAATTATCAAAATGGATAAAGAGAATAGGGAACTTTAGAAATATGTATTCATAAGTAAACTTAAACCAAAAATTTTTTGCTTTTGGCACAGAATATGTGGAATTTTGATGAATTAAAACAATCCCTATTTACTTACTTTTATATTTTCTAGACTATTTCTCAGCTGCTTTTCCTCCCTGTGGCTTCTAGGTGATTTTTTTCCATTTATACAGTAGATTCTATAACAAGCAAACCAATGGGAGAAGAAACAGCTAAGAACATTAGAACCACAGTCTTCCATCTTTGGACACACCCCATATGCTTTTTCCCAACTGACAATCAAGAAGCTGGGGTACAAGAAGTCATCATTGGAAAACGGCCCTTTACCATGACTCAAAAGGAAGCACACAAAAATAGATAAATAAAATCCAAAATCCCAAAGAAAACTACTCTGTAGTTTGCAAAATCAAAACAGTTTATATTATATTCTATCTTATTTTTATAACTCAATAACCCAGAAGAGACCAACAGCCACCACCAATAGAGTGACCATAAAGTCTGGAAACATAGGTGACTATACATAAAAATGGTTTATGGACATTACATTAATAGTAAGTTCAATATGCCATTGTGCAAAATTCCAATGACTGTGAAATATTAACACACTTCCGAAATTCCATTATCTGTGATGTGTTCCCACTGATGATTTGAATTTCTGATTTTCAATGAATAACCTGCATTTCTAGCACACCCAAGAAATCAATGGGGTTCAGATATGGCAAAAATGCAGCTCATGCCATATGGCCCTGTCATCCCATTTGGTTTCAGAAATGATCATCTACCCAGTCCTCTGCCACTCAGGCTTAATGGGGTGGTGTATCCTCAGGCAGAAACCACCCAGGCCCTCTTCCCCTAGCCCAAGAGCAGGCATTAAATTGTTTCCTAACAAGGTCAAATATGCCAACATTTGCCTATGTTTCCAGTCTTTAGTGTGGGTAAGGAAGTTATACTATAAAAGAAACACAGACCAGCTGGACTACATGCAGAAGACTACACCCAAGGTGGTAGAAGAGAAACCCTATAAGCAGAAGCAGAATCAATAGGGATGTTTAACTGAAGAAGAGCCAAAAAAACAAGAAAGGATATGAAGCTGTAGACTAAGTAAAACAACAACAAAAAATGTTGATAGATTTATTCTGTGATGCTTATAAAAAACATAATTTGGGAGTCAGTATAAAGCATCATTTTCTAACAATCAGAGCTGGAAGAGGTAGTTTTTCACTCTCTCTCTCTGCCTACTTTCCTTCTCTTATACAACTCCCAAGTTCATATCCTATGCTCCAAGCAAGCCTTTCCACAGAGGCCTTGCTCTCCTACCTTTGACTCTACATTTGCTGTTCCATTTGCCTAGAAAGCTTTTTTTATACTTCTTAAATTATCTTACAGTCTTCCTTCAAGACTTGCTGCTCAAATGTTACCTCCTCTGAGGAGCCTGACTCCCACCATTTATATATCTTCTCCCACGGCCTGTGCTTACAACCATCACAGCACTTTCTCACTATATGACAATCATCTATTCTTTTTATCTGCAGTGCCTAGCAGAGGCAGTCGAAGTTTTTTGGACTGGTTCGGTGCCTGAAGAGAACATCTTTTCATAACAGAATGGTGACTAGACTAGGTGACTTGTAATTTCTTAAGACTATGATTCTATTTTTTTCAATGATTCTATTTTAATATTGCCTTTATAATGAGTAACTACTATTTTTGTCCTACTCATAATGAGTACAAGTAAATCAACTGCAGACTTTTCTACTGAAAGTACACAAACAGAAAAGTCACTAGTAAACACACAAACAGAAAAGTCACTAGTAAAACACACAGCATAGTTACCAGGAAAGAAGAGTTTGCAGCTGTCACTGTACCATATGGCTTGATGAATGCAGGCTTAAGTTTGGCCATCTGCTCTAGGGAGGAAGGACGAATGCCATTATCCTTGGTAACTGTGTCTTTTCCTGTGAAAACATGAACTTTTTAACTCTAGGGAACTGCAATACAAACTTTTTATATCTTCTCTAGAGAAGTATGTTTTAGAAAGTACAAGACAAATTCAGTGTAAACCATACTTACTCACTAAAAAGAAAGCTTTTATACTTACCAAGATATTACCAAATTTTAAACTAAACTCTTAAGACAGCTGAGAAATAATCTGAAGAATTTAATTTTAAAAGGATACCCTATTTTCTTAAGATGTTTATCCACATTTGGCTATTCCATACAGAAGTCATAGGAATTATGAATTTTAAAAATAGGTATATACATAGAACTAAAATACATCAGGAAGATAAAAGGAGTCCCTTATAAACTCTTTTTAAAATGTTTACCTATTTTAAAACATAAATTGAAACCTGAATCCACATTTAAGAATGAGTATTGGGAAGCAGAACTAACATACTTATTGAAAAGTCATTTAGGGTTCTTGGTGTTTTAGAAGCACTTCAGTCAGAACTCCCTAACAAGGATCAGGAAGCAGTCCCCATTATGAAGTGGAGCACACTGTTTTACCTGGTACTTTGAAGGGCACAACATCGGAAAGGAGTCCTTCATCCTGTGCCTTCTTGGCCAGGCTGTGCGAGCGCAGTGCATACTCATCCTGTTCCTGCCGTGAAACAGCAAAGGCGGCAGCCAGACGGTCTGCAGAGTGGCCCATGGTCTCACTGGTGGAGAACTCGGCCACAGCAGGGAGCTAGCAAGGAGATTCACAGGACCAAGAACAATGTTAACAGGCTACAGGCACTGTACCATACCTCGGGTTATCTGGGGAAGCTAAAATCTACTATCAACCAAGGCCAAGACAAGGCGAGCTTTTTGTGAGCAGGTCATCTCTAAAGAGGGCTTATAAAGTCAAATTTGCTAACCACTATCTTTTCTTCTTCTTCTTGACCCAGTAATTAACCTTCCCTGGTAACTAACAGAATCTACAACTATTAGAGCATAACTGAACACATACTCTCTTGCCTAATTCTGGAACTCTGCAGAGGGATGCTTTGGAAACACAAGTCTTTATGTAAGTCTTACCTCCGGTGACAGGAAATTCAATCTGAATTTAGAAAGTAAAGACAGTCGTTGACCCAGAGTCTTGGCTTTATTGAGATCAAGCATCATTTTCCGCATTTTCCTTGAATGACGAATAGGGATGTCAGACATTAGCTCTACACCACCTGCCACAACCACATCAGACTGGCCAGAAGCAATCAAGCCGACACCTATAGGGCACAGGTCATATGGATGTGAACATATTTTACAGATATTAACAGACCACTGATAATTTAGAACTTCCTGACTAAAACACTGTACGACAGTCATCAGCACAGTACAACATCTATAATTAAGCTTTTCCTCTTTTCAGGGAGATTAAGATTATTTTAAAAATTATTAATCAGTATACTAGACAGTAATGGGAATTTCAATTTCTACTACAAGCTAGATAAAGTCTGGCTTTTGAGATGTAAGGCAGCCTCCCTCCCTTCCTATGGCACTGGCATGAATTTTGTTGCTCTAGCTGGGAGAAGCCACATTCTTCAGAGTGGTGAATGACCCGCCATTGCCTCTGGCATCATTCCCTGCCGTGATGCTGCCCAACCTGACCTTGATGTTACTAACAGAGCACATAAGCCTATCTCTCTGGTTTTCTGTCCTTTCACAATAGGGGCTGATGCTACAAAATGTCCCACAGTTTTGCTCGTTTTCTTGGAGAGTATGTAACTAAATATAAAAATGCCAAGGATGTGGGGAAGTAGAGGAAAAAGTTGTACCCTGTAAAGCAGGAAGGTACCATCACGGTGATGGTGTATACTCTTCATGGGGGAACATCATGTAAGAATCCCCTAACTTCAAAACCTAGCAGGTCATAAATTATTCATGCTCAAGTTCAGAAGCACGCTCCTAGAGATATATTCCTCCAGCTGATAATCCCTACTGGAGCCAGCCACATTACTGATGGAGAAACTACATGAATGGTTGTGTCCCTGGGATATAGAGAGCAAGACTAAGGTTCAGAATTACTGCCAAAAAGCAAATGTTAAATGTTACCTTACTTAGAAACACACCCCCGGTACAACAAATTCAGAGATCTGTGCTCATCATTTACTTCTGTTAAGAGTAGTTCTTTATGATTATATAAAAGAGAATTAACATGTATGCACCTTTCGCTTTCAAGTAAACATACCTGTGGTCATGGCCTGGTTAGAAGAGATGCAAGCCATGGTGACAGTGTGAGCAGGGGTCTTATCAGAGAAGCCAGCTCCAAGAGCAGCCTTCAGGAAATACAATGAATAAAATGATCACTTATATAGGAAATGCTACATGTAAATGATGTGTTGAGCACTACTCTTCTGTGTGGTAAATCAGGAAAGGGTTTGAGGGTAAATGTTCTACAGATTAATATTTAAAATAAAACTAAGCTCATGCTAATTTTTCATCTAGCTATTAGCTGACAAGCAGGCTGCAAAATTCTTGGTAGGTACATTCTAGTGTGGTATCAAGGCTACAACACTCTTCTATGTCATCTACTTTCTTAGTAATGTTTTGCTCTGAGCCTTTAAGGATATCCATATGTAATTTGATTTTAAGTTGTTTAATTTTCAAATAAAGTAAACCTGTAGATACAGTTGATGGACTGATGACTGTCTGACAGAGGAGGGTCCTCATGAGCTGTGTTCCTGCCTGCAGTTAAAAGGCTTAATAGCAAAACAAAAGCAATCAAACATGAAAATAACTTCTAAAGAATTGACCACTTAAACAGAGTTCCCACTCAGATCCCCACACATGTTCTACTGATCGCTACCCATGCTGCCTGTCAGAGTCCCTCAGCATACCAACTGGCTGATACTTCAGTCAGCACACTGCACACCCAACGCAATCAAAGTGGAAATCCTGCCAAATATGCGGGAGTTTCAGTTGACAAAAGAAAACTCTGGAAAACTGTCTGAGCCACAAGTGAGCCTCTGATGAATAAGGGTTAGGCCAGTGGGAAAGAAAAAACTGTCCAGGATGATGGCACAATAGGTGCTTCAAACCTTGAAAAAAACTGAGGCCCTCCACTACTTTTGCAAAAACGGCCTCTATTGTGATGGCACAGTGAAAGTCATACAGGAATTGAGGACATCTCTTATTTTACCATATTACTTATTGGCAAAATTGCGCTGTCAAAAAAACCATTTAATGCCTGACTACATTTTTATGTAAAGAATTACTGCAGAGGCACAATAATAAAATAAAATATCTGTATTTGTAATACTAAAGTTCCACTCTAAAAAATAAAGCTCTTGCTCCACTACCACCACTTATCACTGTTTACTATGAAATGCTGGTTCCCATTAGGGAAATTCATTTTTAGTGGCCTTTTTCTGAAACTATTTAACTATCCTCACAATATGGGATCTCCTGTAACTTGGTAAAATAAACATGTTTCCAAAGTGTAAAGGGGTTCAATGCTTCTTAATGATTTCTACTTTTATACTTACACTACCTGTACACTGTTTATTATAGTCTACAGAAATATAAATGCGTTACATGCATGCAACATGACCTTATTCTGGTTTTTCCAGGTAGGCCTGATAATAACTGCTTGACCTACTTTGCTAAAAACTATGCCCTGAAAACTGCGTATCAGCCTCTCACTATAAACCAATCCAAAAGTAAGAAGGATGCAAGTCTTTAGTGGGGAGGGAAGGAGAGCTGTCAGTGGGGCAAGTGTAAAGGGCACTCAGGTCATATGGCCTGATCCTCACAAGGTCCTTTCTAGCATGTATTACACCTTTGGCCCAGCTGACTCACAGGACAGGAGGACCTTTAAATAGAAGTGGTTGCTGGTGAACCTTGTCCGCATTATTCTATTTAAAGTTTGACTAGTTCTCACCACAAACAGGCTCTAGATAGTACACTAAGGGAAAAGGAGGAAGATGCCTCTTAGTTAAGATGAACAGTAGGGAAATATACTTTCAGTAAAGTGAGGTTCTCAGCACCAGAAGCCATTTAGGATTTCATATTAACATTATTAACATAGACAATAGGTCCTTAAAAAAAAAATTCTCTAGCTGGAAGTTATGTTAGCTTTTAGGTTACAACCTGAGAGAGACATTCTTATAACATATCCCCTCAACTCAACCTTTTCCTGAGGCCACTGCAAAAACTACCTGGAGTACAATGCAACTGGTATTAGTATAGGGCAGGGAAAGGGAATCTACCTCATGTCAATTCATAACTGAGATGTGCATATGGATATAAAATTTCAGGAAAAAAATTCAAGAAAAAACATGATGGCTTCAGTATTAGGATATCAGAACAGAAATATAGAAAATTGAAACATTTAGTATTTACTTTTTAAGTGCTCTTGTAAGAGCCAAATTTTTTTCTATAATATGGAATTTGAAAACGTATTATGCATAGCTTGCTGAATTCATAAAATTTTCATATCTGACACATTTAGAAATGTGAGGTCCAGAGAAAAACAAAAAAAATCAGGAAGAGAAAAAGACCTCTTCTTGTCTTAATTCTTTCCTGCCTGCCTAGCAATATACAGTTGATTTTTGTGAGCTTCAGTACTGCCAGGCTTTCAGCAATTTTAACAATTAATGACAGGTAAAAAGCTGGGGCAGAACAAATACTATCAGTCCTGCTCATTTCCTTTTCCTGGCTTGACAGTGATGGAAATTACTGCCCTTCCAACGATAACAAACACAGTAATATGGCAAGCATAAAGCTAGAAATAAAGAAAATGCTTAGCACACTGAAATGTGCTTTTGAGTCAACTTTATTCAAATAATGACTTTCAAAGTGAAACAAGGCCCAGAAGATGTGCTTGGACTATTCATTATGAAATGCCTATAGCGCATGTCACAGAAGTTCCAAGATCTGTCATTGTCTCAGCTGCCCAATCAACATCACATGGAGCTATGCCAACTAGGGTAAAAATAAATGCCTATAAAATAGTTTAAAAAAAACTGTCTTATATGTCACCTAGTCTATGGGAATGAAGGAATAAGCAAGACTACTTCTAATAAAAACCATGTTATGAAATAAGTTCTTTGCACAATGTTAAAATTTTTAGTTAATGAGAAGCTATGATATCTAACATTGCTAAAAGTCACATCAGCCATACTTCGTCACAATCTCTGTTATCCTAAGAGACAATATATCCCAAACCAGTTCAAATAACTGGTTTGATTTATATTACAGTATCAACATATACTAGCATACATTATTTGACTTATACTATAGTTCTTTCAAATATTAAACAACATTCATTCTTCAAGTTGTAAAATCACACTTTCAGTCAAATCTAACTTTACTTAGTAAGTTTTGGTAGCTTATATAAATAGAAAACTCTATTCACTGAAATCCAAATCGATTCTCCTACCAATCTCTACAAACAATACACAGTTCATTTACTCACCTCTCTGGCCACATTGCTTGTTTTCACTTCCTGTATAACTGTTCCAAAGATGATATAATCAACTACTTCCCTGGGGACACTTGTCCGATGCAACAAACCCCTGAGAGCAAAAGTCCAAAGCAAAGGCATATTTCACATATCAAGACAGTGCCATAGATAGTATTAAAATATTGCATATCTTTAAAAAGGTTAATCTTGAATTTAAAAGAGCAGAGAGTGTACTCGTTCCTTAATTAGACAAGCATATGGCACCTTATCAAAGAATAAATAAATAACTTAAAAGTCAATGTTTGATGCTCAATTGGCAATGAGAAATTGAATGGAAGAATAAAAAATATGAAATATCCATTTATATATATATATATTAATAATATGAACCTTGATTGAGTCCTGGTTTCAGGGGAAAAAAACTATTAAAAGAAGATTCTTGGAACAATTGCGGGAGACTTGACTATGAACTGGATATTAGAAGTTACAGAATCATTATTATTATCTTAGCTATGGTAATGGTATCATGGATATATCCAAACCACATAGATACAGCAAGTTGGCAAAATGGTTAACAATTACTAAATCTAGGTGAGGGTTATTTAGGTGCTCACAGTGTTATTATTCTTTTAATTTTATTGTACACCTGACACTTTTTTAGAACTGTCTAAATCTCCAGCCCAGAGCCAAAATCAGAAATAGCACCATTAACAGAAATTGGAAAATAAGCTGGCTTTGAGGAAAAGAGAATTTTTTATATGCTGAACTTGAAGTGTCTAAGAAAAGAGGACAAATTTAGATTTGGGAGTCTTCTACATAAAAAATAAAGACAAAGGAGATGAGATTTTTAATGAAAAGCACACACACATTAAAATGCAAACCTCTAACTCTAAAACTTACAAAATACCTTTAAGAAAGCAAAAGAGAAAGAGATCAGTTTTTTAAAAAGAAAGAAGAATCATTCAGGAGATGGGAGGAAAATTATAAAGGCATAATATTCAGAAGTCAAAGGAAGACAGCTTTGAGTACAGATGATAGCATCAAATGCCACAGAATACAGAGACTAAGGTCTGAAAAGGACTGATGAATTTAAGTGATCACAAAGTCACTATTAAGAGAAGCTTCCAAACTTCAGTTACTGTAGAGCCATGGGAATAGAAACAATTACTAGGAGATTGAGGAGAATAAATGGATAGTTAGAAAAGAGAAGCAACTGCTGCTTTCACTCATTCTTAAAATCTGACAGGAAGAGAAGAAACAGAACCAAGTGGTCAGAAAAGTCAACTAAAGGGTTTTTCAAACCAAGAAAGACCTGTGACTGGTTGAAAACAAAAAGGCAAAGCATCAACAGCAAATGAATGAGATAATCCCTCACAAGTTATTTCCACAACAGAAACAGCCACCCATTCTTACGACTCTCATCAAATTATTCATCCATCTCAATCTCATGTAACCACATGTAATTTTACATTTTTATTTGGTTTGCATATGAATATTCAGGTCTCATTATAGGATTCTTTTTAAGTATTTGCAAAATCTCTTCAGCTTTCTTAATGTACTGTAATTAAGCTCCTAAAATAATCATCAAATATATGGATTATATTTAGCCTCATCAATCCAGACCTATGTTGTTTATAACTTGTGGCTAGCTACAGTACTTATTAAAGAATACTGTCATGTCAGGACACTGTCAAGCCTACAAAATAAAGATCATCGACATTTACCAGCTGCTTGAATTTGTGTAGCACAAATGGCTAAAATGAAGAATAAATGATACTGTAAAAGCTAATGTGTGTTTTTCTTACCACATAAAGGTTAATATTGCATGCTATTTCAAGTGTAAAACCTGTAGAAAAGTGCTTTAAATGAATCAAGAACTAAAATGAAACTTTATTTACTTACGAAAGTGCTGCCCGAGACAAATCATGTGGCATCAGTTCTTTGTATCTGGATAAAGAAAATAAGTAATTTAAACCAAAAGCCTAGAGCTTTAATAAAAAATGCTTTTCACTCTACTTGAAATACCTGAAGATACCATGTAACATACAACACTGAGAATATACTTAATTTTACTATCTAAGGCACTACATAGTTTCAAATGAAGAACTAGTGCAACTTTGCTAACAGTGTATCCTTAAAAACCTGGCAAGCCTTAAATTAACTCCTAAAGGATCTAACAAACCAGTATCTTACTGTTCAGCTTGACATGTTAAATATTCTTTAAAACCAAATCCTATCTTTTAAGTTCTCCTTTTAAAATACACTTATTTTGTGACACCTAAAGAGACATGAGGGATTAGGACTTTTAGAGGAACTTTTTGTTCAAGTAATTTGAGACTTATGAGAGAACTGGAAAGATAGAACAGAGTTCCTGTATAGACTTTACCCTTCTTCCTTTACTGCTAATATCTTATATAACCAGTTACACTTGTCAAAGCTAAGAAATTAACAGTGACACAATATCATTCACTAAGCTACTAACTTTATCTGGATCTCACCAGTTTTCTACCAATGCTCTATTTACTGGTCCAGGATCTAGTCCATGCCTTTAGTTGTCATGCCTTCTGTTTTCTCCAATTTATGAGTTTCTCAGCTTGACTTTGCCTTTTGTGACCTTGACACTTGAAGACTAGGTCATGGATTTGAGGAAAAAAATACCACAGAGGTAAAATACCCTTCTCATCGCTTCATATAAGATGTACATGGTAGTCACATGACTGATTACTGACAATGTCAACTTGATCACTTGGTTAAAGTGAAGTCTGACAGTTTTCCCTATTGTCTTTCCCTTTCTGTTAGAAGTCAGTCACTAGTTGACCTTCACTGAAGGGGAGGAGAGTCAAGCTCCACAAAGATCTTTGAGGGGCTGGCAACAGATCCATCTTCCTAGACAAAAGGAAGGTAGCATTCTTGATGGAAGTTTCTCTTCCTACTGTGCAGCTGCTGAGTATAAGAAGGATCCTCTGTCCCCACTCTCCTGCTGCTAAAGATTCAGATTCTTACTCTTACTGCTGAAGTGTCAGTATAGGAAAGAGATTACAGAAAGAAACCGGTTACACTGTATTCAGAAAAGAAGGTGAATGAAGAAACTTCATACCATTTATTTACAGCATTATTTCCATAAGAATACACTCTCTAGGCCTTAAACCATTTGTTTAAAAATAAACATTTATTTGTGTACATTTGTATACACACACACATACACACAGGTGTGTGTATCATCCACAAATGATGGCATCATACACACTGCTCTGCACTTTGCTTTTTACACTTAACATATCTTCTAGATCATTCCATATTAGTATATAAAGATAGGTCTCATTATTTCTAGCATATACCTAACATTCCCCCAGTATATTTTTAGGTTAATGACTTATTCAAAATATAAACAACAAAACAAACTGAACAGAAGAGACCTAGTATTTCATTGAGTTTGAACCTAATTACCAAAGTCCATTATCAGCTTTTGGAGAGCCTGGGCCTTACTTGGGGACAAAAAGTAGCAGAGAAGTCTAAGGAGAACTGCAGCTTGATTCTAGGGAATTTCTGTGCAGGTCTAGGATCATTCTGATTCCACACGCTTGGCGTTGTACTGTGCCAAGGTTTGGATCAGCCCATCAACTCCAATTCTGCTACTTTCCAGAAGGC